AAATAAACCTTTTCTTCTTTCATTTTGGGTGTCGGGTATTTGTCCCAGCAATGAGAGAAAAGTAACTGGGACAATGACATTCTAGATGACACAGCTGTTTTTGAGAAATGGAGATTTGGATGCATGAATACATGAATAAATACAGTGTTGTACATGAATAAAAGTGGATTGTTTTACACAAAAAAATAAGATATTCCTTGAAAATAAACCCTATTACATATTTTGGGGCAAAAGTTAATGTTAGACACAGTCTTATTTTCAGGGAAATATGGTAGCTAAACTCAGAAGTGTAAAAGCAAATACGGGAAAACAGTAAGAGTTAAGGCTTTTTTTTTGTTGTTGTTCCTCGAATGCCTTTAGGGCACTTTTGGCCAGCGGGAGAGGTGTGAGGTTTGAACTCCAGCAACCTGAGGCTGACAGCTTTGTGGAAGCAGCCACTTAAAGGACTGAGCTAGGACCAGGCCCCCAAGAGAAAATAGTAAGAGTTAAGATAAGGACAGGCAGGTAAGGATTCTGATTCCCAGGAAAGAACCTCTTCAGGTGGAATGGATCCCACCATCTGGGCTGGGAGCTGGGCTTGGAGGAATGCAAACACACTAAAAACTGGCTTTTCTTTAGAATACTGCATTAGAAACCCTGAGTCTCAAGGGCTGGCCAAATAGCTCAGCAGATTAAAGCACCTGCAAGTAGGCAGAGAGGCTGGGGGTTTGATCTCTGGGCTTGCTGTGCCAGCCCCGCCCCCTGGGGTGCACTGAGCTGGCAATTGAGACTGGGTGTGGTGGCGCAAGCCTATAACCCCAGCTCTTGGGAGGCTGTAAACAGACAGAAGGATCCTGATCTAGTAGCGAGACCCTGAACACACTGTAGAGTCTTCCCTAAAATACAGAAAGAAAGAAAGAAAGAAAGAAAGAAAGAAAGAAAGAAAGAAAGAAAGAAAGAAAGAAAGAAAGAAACCAACCCAGCCTGCCTGCCTGCCTGAGTCTCAACTGGTCATTTTGACCCCACAGGGCTCCCTAAGATAGATGACCACTGGACACTGAGCAAACTCCCACACTCTGCTTACCATCAAAGACCCTAGACAGCGAGCTTCCCTGCCAAGCCCACCTTCAGGGCCCTTCCTTACAACCCATAAAACACTCTGGTCTGCTGATTCCTTTTTGCCCATTACTTCATCTTTCGACTTTGAGAGTTAATGACCCAGTTTACCTGTTATCACTTCCAAAGGAATCAGCCTCAGGCATGCTGACAACTCAGGTATGTTTTCCTGGAGAGAACAGAATCTTCTAGAAGAATAGTAAGGGCCACAAGGGCACACAAGAGACTGTTCCTTGTCCCCATTTTCTTTCCTTCCCTCCCAGCCCTTTGAGTGCTTAGGCCATCCCAAGAAGGTCCCAAGAGGACAGGGGAGCCATCCCAACACTCCTATACCCACGCCATGCACGCAGGCTAGAATTCTCTGAAGATGCCTCCTCGGGGTGAAGCACCCTTTGGACTGTGTGACCCGGAAACATCATGAAGATGGAGGGACAGAATGTTGCAGGTCCAGAGCCAAAACGGTCTTGGGCTATCTGAGATCTTTCAGAAAAAAAATAGCCACTCACTTTTAGCCTTTGCAAGGGACCTAACATCCTCAGAGTCGTTAGGTGACCCTCTGAGAATGTATGGCGAGGAGTAGCAGACCTCCCAGCTCCATCAACGCCAAGCCCAAGAACGCTGTCTGCTGACAGGAAACCCACAGGGAAGACGCTGCACACGGCCTACCTGGTGCCCCGACCAAGCACATGCTACATGCACTGATTCATGACGTTTTCTTTTCATGGTACCAGGGATTGTACAAAGAGCCTCTGCACACAGCTAGGTCCCAGTCCCCTTATTTTTCTTATTTGGAGAGAGGAAGTCACTAAGTTGTTAAGTTGCCCAGGCTGGGCTTCAACTTGTGAGCCTCCTGCCTCAGTCTCCCACAGTGCTGGGAATACAGCAGACGTGGGCTACCACACCCAGCTGATTTACGAGCTTCTGTAGTCTTGGCTGTAAAGCTCACGTATCCCCTTCATGACAGAACGCATCTGTCACTCAGGATAGCCTGAATGAGTCTGTATTCCTGGGCCTTTGTCACTGCCATTTGGCTCAGGATAATTTATTTTCTGTTTCCTTTAGAACCAGAGTTGTTATTTCATGTCCTTGCAGAGAACTCCCAGCCCACGACAGCGTGGGCAGTCAGACCTGGCCACCTTGGCGGGAGTCAGGCTGAACCCCAACATAGCCAGGAACTGAATAACCAGAGGGGGAAGGAGCCCAAAGAAATGCCCCCTCTGCCATGTGGATGCTGCACAAACGAGTGCTAGCGAGACACAAAACACTCGGTTTGGTCCCAGGGAGTGAATTCCAATCAGCCCTGAGGTTGGATACGAAAATAAGCACAGGTAGAAGGAGACAAGAAAAACTCAGAATCTTAAAATCGTATTGTTAAGAAAATCTACAGCTTCAGGACATAAGCCCAGTTTAAATTGCTTTCTCTCTTCTTGCAAGACACAGTAAATCCAGCGATTCCCTTCCATCTTTTCATCTGCGCCTAGGCAGAATTCTATTTCTTTTCATCTGAAAATTGTGGTTATCCTCGAGGAAGCAGCAGTATTTGTGGGCAGCAGAAGTCAGCCTCCAGCACAGGCAGATGCTGGCATTCTAACACAGCCTGCCCCGGGGTGACTGGTCAGCCTGGAGGACACACTTCCTAGATCAGCCAAACACACCCCAGACCCTTCAGTGTTTCCAGAGCACACTACACCTCTGTCTCTCAAGAGCCCAGATTATATTTCTTTGACTGAGCACTTTAAATTCCTGCTTAAAAAATCCCATCATGCCTCTTACTGGCTTCAACTGGGAGTCAGGGAACCTGCAACTTAATTGTACGGGTGGGGTGGATTTAGGATCCTGTCGGGTGACAGGCATCCCCTGGGACATGAGGAGGCTGTCCCCAGGTCTTGGGGGTGATACACCCTTCTACTGAGAAGTAGGTTGGCCTGGAGCAAAAGCAGTTTTGGCACTGGTTGATGCATCTGACTTGGGAACAGACAGGAGACTGACCAGCACCCTGCAGCCTCCACTGGCAACCCTGCCAGGGGTCACTGGGCAGTGAGCTGCTATTTCCAAGATTCTGTGTGTCCCATCAAGTCCTGGGGACAGGATAAGGGGCTTTTATTTGGTTTTGTTGTTGTTGTTGTTGTTGTTGTTGTTGTTTTGATACTGGGACTCAAACTCACAGCCTCACACTTGCTGGCAGGTGCTGTGCCACTGAGCTCCATCTCCACCCAATAAGGGGCTTTTAAGCAGGGGGTGCGCATCTCAAAACAGTGGTCCTATTCCCTGCTACCTGGAGGCCCAGGAGCTCTGTGCTGGCCACAGGGCACAGCCTGTGTGTGTCTGGGACATGGCTAGGAGGACTGTGGCCTCAGCCTCCAGCCACACCTGCTCAGGGACTGAGCACAGCCCCCACCTGCTATGGGCCCCGAGCCACACACTCTCTCTCCAGGGCAAGGAGGACAGACCCCCCAGACCCCCATGTGCAGCTGCATGCTGGATCCAGGCTCCTACCTGTGCCCTAATTCCCAACATGTGCAGGGGCCTCTCCCACTAGTGCCGGGGACTCAGGCATAGCCCACAGCCATCCTGGCAGCCACCTCAAGGCCATCTCCCTCCAGCTCCGCCCACCTCCAAGGACACCCTGGGATGGAAGGAACTGTACAGAGGATGGAGTGCGTTTTGCAACAGCACCTTGCATCCACTGGGAGTGGCTCCAGCAAGTCACCCGAGGACTGCAGACGCAAAACAGCAATGTTAAGGAGAGAGAAAATTAATCCCCTGATGAGACCCACCCTCTCTGCCCCCATGGGCTGAAATATCGCACTATGCCTCTTTAATATTCCTAATAAATACATCACTACAGTCAATGCATGTTAATCAGAAACTGAAGTTCAATTTAATAAATAAAAATAAAATGGTCTATATATATGTAGGAAGAAAATACAGAAGGAAACAAAGTACAGGGAGGCACGGTGACTTATGCAGTGGGCAGGCTCACACAAGCTTGTCACAGCACACACACACACACACACACACACACACACGTGCGCGCGCACACACGCGCACGCGCACTGCCCAGCACAGCCATGCATGGATCCACACACCCGCCGGTGCACGCAGACGGCAGCCACTGCTCCACCACATCTCACTGCTGCTAGGACAGGAACACTGGGCCTCACTGCAGTGCCTGCTCGTACTGCGAGGCATGTGGCATCCTATCCTGGATTTGCAATGGAAGCAGACCACAGCTGAGAGCTGGATCCGCTCCTGCCACCACCATGGCCACCACATCCCGAGACGCAGCAGGTGACACCTAGAGATGGCACTCAGAGCCCCATGCTGGAAGTCAGGGTCCCCAGGAAGGGTGCTATGATGCACGAGGCCTCATGTGGAGGCTCCCAGTCACCCCGCCCTGCCCCGCCCCGCCCCGCCCTGCCCCGCCCTAAGGAGCAGACAAGGATGCACAGGGATAGTGTTAGCCACGGGTACTTCCTGTCAGCTGCGGCGAGGAACCCATGGTGGGCACTGTGGGGGCTGTCACTGTGCCAGGAGAGCCCCTTCAACTCCCAGGCATCCTGGAAAAACCAGTGTGCCTGGTTGGCCACACTTAGCTGAGGATGGTGACACCTTAGCCTCCTGTCACAGGTCCTCGCCAGCAAATGAGACCAGGCCACAGATGCACACACTCCTAAGCTGTGGCCAGGAGGCCAGGGGAGCCTGTACAGGTGCATCCAGAAGATAAGCATTCAATGCCACCACCCCCCTCGCCATCCACAGACACTGAGCAGCTCAGCCCCCATAGGGGACCCAGGCCCCACATACCAAGTGCCACCTGGATCACAGCCCCTGCCAGCCAGCAGGAAACCCAGGCTCAGGAGGGCCACGGCAGCTTCCCATTGGCGGCTCACCCTTGCCCTCACCTGCTTCTCGTTCTCATCCTCCAGCCGCAGGCGGTCCTCGATGCAGCCCCGGGCCTGCAGGAAGGCCTTCCTCTGCGAGCGCTCCGTCACGATGCGCACGAACACACCGTACATGTTCACACCCACGAAGAGCAGCGCATTGGCTCCGAGCTGGGTGGACAAAGCAGATACAACGTGTGGGTTTGGACAGGCAGGTGCGGGAGGGGCACAGCCGCTGGGGAGCATGCAGCAGCCCCCCAACAGCTCCACACCAGCCCCAAGAGGCCAAAGGATGGGCACAGGTGCAGACACATGCCTGCCCATCCTGCATGGTAGCAGGGAGTTGAATAAAATCCAAGGCTAGTGCTGAGAGTTACAGCTTGCCCCCCCACCATTCATATGTAGAAGTCTTAACCCCAGGACCTCGGCCTGCAGTGGTCTTTACACACGGGCCTTTAACACCGTACTGAAATGGGGTGAGCAGGCTGGCCCTGATCCAAGCTCACTGATGGCCTGCAAGAAGAGGACATCAGGAGAGGGACACAGGAGAAGACAGTTAGTAAGCTGAGGACCCAGAGGAAACCGGCCCTGCAGCTACTTCAGCCTGGACAGCCAGACTCCAACAGTGGGCAGAACGAGTTTCTGCTCAAGCTTCTTGAGGACAGTAACGGCAAGAAGAAGACTGTGCTTGGACGCTCACGGAACATTCTAGGCCCAGGGAAAGTGAACGGACTATAGCAAAACCCAGGGTGATTGATTTTATATGAATCAAGCACCAGCCTGCCACCAGGAGAGGCAGCGTCCGGACGTTTGTCCCCGTGAGGCCCTGGGGCTTCCCCGCTGCGACAGTCACAACCCTGAGGCCACTTGTGAAGGTCTGGCCAGAAAGGAGCACTGCTACTTTGGTTACAACTGAATCCCAACCCAGGAGTGGTTGTACGTGCATAATAATCCCAGTACTCTAGGGGCAAGCGGGCCTCAGCTTATCTTGGGCAGAATAGCAAGAGCCTGGCTCAAAATTAAAAGATAAAAAATACAGAAGAGGTAGAGGTATAGCTCAGGGCAAAGACCCTGTCTTCAATCTCCACTGGCAGAGGATGGATGGGGTCAGGATCCCAGGAATGTAGTGTTTCTGATTTCTTGGTCCTAAATCAGCTACAGCCGAGCCCTTGCAGGTCAGAGAACAGAATCTACAGGCCTGGGAGATGTTCAGGACGACAACACCGTGCCTGGTCACGTGGCCAGATGCACACAAGATGAGGCTCAGCCCCAGGTATCAGCCTTGACTGCTGGCCCAGCAGGACTCCTAGTCTAATCTGACCCTGACATCCGAGGCCACGGGCCCAGCGCCAGACAGACACTTCTCCACAGCCACACAGGACCATCGCAGGTCTCCCTGTGGGAAACACTCACCTCACCCAAAGCAGCCACGGGCACCATGTAAAATAGAGTCCTCCCCCATTGGCTGCCGACAGAGAGGATTTCTTCATCTGATTAAACTCATCATTTCCACCTCTGCCCCCGAGAATGACAATCTGCAGTTCTCAAGTGTCACTGGCCCTTGCAGATCTTCTGGACAAATGCCCCAGACAGCCCTGCACGTCCCACTCTATGAAGCACTGCACCTGGGGCATGCGGAGCAGGGGTCCAATGACAGAACTCCTGAGAGAGAGGGGACTACCCCAACTGAGAGGAGCCATGGGGCCAGCAGGAGTCTCTGGAAAACCTGCTGAGGAGACCTGGAAGTGCCTGGCACCACTGGGTGCTGAGCAGGGAGCAGGTGGGAGTTCATGGGGAAAAGGCAGGGCTGGCTGGCAGAGAAGGATTTGGGTACCTCCTGACTCGAGGTGTCTGCAGTGACCTCTGTTAAAGTGGATTAAAATGACAGCCAGGCCTGAAGTCCCTGTTAGGAACTGAATCTGAAACATCCCCAAAGGCCCAGTGACAGCTTCTGGGAAGTGATCGGATCGTGGGGGCTGTCACTTCACCAGCAGCTTATTCTGCTTGTGGATTGAGCTTTCAGTGGTGGCACTAGGAGATGGAAAGAGGAACTCGGGCCTGGCCAGAGGGCCTGGGTCACAGCAGCAGGGCCTTGGCCACACCACCTGGTCCCTGGCTGCTACTCCAGCCCTGGCCCCCACTCCCTGCTGCCTGGCTGCCACGCTGCGTGGCTTTGCTCAATTTGACCCTGAGCAGAGGACACCAAGGGTGCAGAGACCTCACAGGTGACCTTAACCTGGGCTGATGTGCAAGCCCATACCAACCTCACTTTGAGCTCTTTCTGGCAAATGCCAACACTAAAAATGAGAAAATGAGCTTAGCCGGTGGAAGCAGCCAATACACCTGCAGATGGGTGAGGAGGGAACCGCCGGTCAGTGCAACCATAACCAGATCACTGATTTTGCTTCTTCAATCATCGTCCATGGACGGCGGGGCCCAATATTCAGTCACCAGAGCATTAACCTCTTTTGAATTCATGTTTCCTGCTCACAGATGGCACCTGACACATATAAACTCTTTAGAAATTCTATTGGACCTCGGTTTACTTTTCTATACCTAAGGAAGCTTCCCAACAGGAAGCTGAAAGTATCTCCAGTCAGCAGTCAGATGTAGTCTAGAAATATATGACAGCTGTCTTCAAAGTGACGACCAGGAGCAAGGACAGTGACCCCAGATGGGCATGGCCTCGGCCCTGGCCAACAGCCAGCCTCTGCCAGAGACCCCCAGACGTGGGTCCCGCCGAGCCACCGCACCGCTGTGCTTCCTGGATGTTGAACCCTGACAGTGGCAAGGCAGTCATCCGGCCGGAGGCCAGCGAGCATGGTGGGGCATGCGATGGGGTGGTTTCCCAGACCCCTGATGCTCATCACGGTGAGCCTGAGATCACCACAAAGATGAAGAACACACGTGATGACTCTGAACCTCTGTCACACTGCAGCCCTGAGCGTCTCCCTGTCTGAGGGACTCGGAGCAATTAATTCACTATGACCTGAACCTTGCCATGCGGTTCTGCACATGTCCCTGCAACCTGAACATCTACTTGTGACTCAGACATTCCCAAGTCACCTTGAGCGTCTCAGTGGGACCCAAGCATGTTCCTGTCACCCTGATACCTACGCGCCACTCTCAACTTCTCGCTGGGACCTGACCCTTCCGTGTGACCTGCACGCCTTCCTGGGACTGAACACCAGCCCCTTCTCTGTTGGTTCTCTTTCCTGAGCTTCCATCACGGAGTGGACAGGTTGGGCCAGCTTTTCCCATGCACGCGCCAGCCAGGCCGTAGGGCTGCACCCAGTGCCCTCCGTCGCTCTCAAGTGCCAGCAGCCTCAACATGCTGCTGCAGGGCTGTTCCGTCTCCCACAGAGCCATGCTCTGCGCTGCCATTCTCGGTGATTTTCTGTCCCTCATCCCTCTGGTGACCAGGCCCTGGGAGGTAAAGTTCTGCCTGGCCTCACACCCTCAGTACTCCCAGCACTGGCTCCAGGGCAGAGAACGTTTTGCTGGTCCTTCCACGCATTCGCACAGGCCCGCCCTGCCGGCCGCCCCATAGTTCTGGAGTTCCAATCACAGCAGCCCCCGGGGCTTTGGCTGCTTGAGCACACAGCTTGTGGCACAGTGGCAAACACCAGCCTGGTCCCAGCCCTTGGGAGTCCCTGGCCGTCCCAGGCCGGACCCCTCTGTCCTGCAAGCTCATCCATGTCAGCCACCAGGACCACCTGGAAATAGTCCCCAAATCCTCCCAGATTCAACAAGCTAAGTCAGCCAGCCACACTGCCCGAGTCTCCCCACATCTGGGGCCGCACCCTGGAGTTCACAGAGGGAGGGGCAGGCGTGTCCCCCTGCACACTCCCATCACAGCACCCACACTGCTTGCACACGTGCTGTGTGCCACGTGTACTTGTTCTTAGAAACCAAGCTGAGCCAGAGGAAGCCCAGGGAAGTAGCGGGTGGTGTTCTGGAATCCAGGCTGTGAGAGGAGTGGTCACAGCCTCAGAGCAGATCATACCCCAAGCTCGGACGGACGTCATGAGGCACCTGACAGATGACAACAAGGCCTGAGCATGAGGCAGGCTCCTCTGGGGACTCCCAAGGTCACCTGCCCTGGGCCAAACACTAGAGCAGAGCCTGGCACCTGCAGGCCACAGGCTGTATCAGGAGGATGTCGGGGCCATCAGGAAGCGGACCAGAAAGCTGTCCACAGCCCCAACACAGGACAAAAGCATGGGCAGAGGATGAGAAGAATGAGGCAGGAGAGTCTCCCAAGACCACAGTGTGCTCTGTCCCATTAAATGAGACAGACAAGCACCAACAGGAGTCATCAGGCACCATGGGGTCTGGAAAGGGCCTGCAAGGCAGTCAGCAATGTCCCAAGGGACATGGGAGGCAGGCGGACCCCATACCTCAAAATAAAACCTGTAATTAGAACAACATAATCTCCCTTTCGAGATTAGCCCACATCTTCACTTCTTTTCACTCCTGGCTTCCTCCCAGAATACAATGGACTCAGATTGCAGAGAGGGAAAGAGAGTTGGAGGGGCAACAGCTGGTGTCTCTGTCTCTGGGGAAGGCTGACCGTTTCCTCCTCAGGGACCCCGGGTCCTAAGGCAGCGGAGGCCTGCTTTCTCCTACTCCACAACCACAGCAGTGGGTCTGGGTCTGGCCCGTCTGGAAGTGGGCGACACCCCACCCACACCCGCCAGCCCCAGGCAGCCCTGGACTCCCTCTCTGCTCCCCACCCAGCCACGTTCCTTCCTGTGAGGTGCTGCCTTCCCCTTCTGAAGCGGCTGAAGCTTCTTCCTCCTCATCTTGCTAAGTTCTGGGTCTTTCCCTGGGCTCCCACACACCCACCTCTCATGAATGGATGTACTGAGGGGGGCGTGGCTAAAGCCTCTTAGCAACTCCCAGACAAAGAAGGAAGCCCAGGCTCTGAACCTAATGCATGCTCCACGCCACAATACCTCCTCTGCCCGTGGGCTCCAGGGTCAGTGATGTCACAACTATCACATTAGTCCTACTGGGGGCAGGGTCTGCAGGAGTGGGGCAGCCCTGGAAACTGCCCCCCTCTTCCCCTGCCCCCCACACTGTGTACCACTGATCCCATGAAGCAGACAGACACCATGGGGGCAACAGAGTGGATGAGGTCCCCCCTACACTGAGACACTCTCCTGCTC